TTCTCTTTAACCCGGCACAGAGAGGGTGGGCGGTTAGGAGAGGAGCAAATGGAGGAACCCTGATGAATGCAGAGCCACACAGGAGCGATTGGACCAGTGCAGGGAGCCCAGGGCTGCCGTCTCCTGGCCAGGCAGATATCCTGAATGAGAATGACTCTCGGCAGGGGAGGAAGTGCTTGGGGACCCTGGCAATCCCATCTGGAGCCCAGGCCTCACAACCTCCCCTGGCTGCCCCTCCCTCTGCCCTTGCCTTTCAGCTGCCAAGAGCTGGGAAGGGGGAGCTGGAGGCAAGTGGGTGGAAGTCGGAGTTCAAGGTGGGGTGAACTTCAGAAGGGAGCTCTGCAGCCCTGCACCCCTCCGCCCCCCCTCGTCCTCACACGGCTGGGCACGTGGCTGAAGAACCTGAACAAATCCAGGAGGCGGAGAAGGGGACCCTGGAGGGCAGCCGGCTCCAGGGGGAGTCAAGGCAGAAGGGGGCTGCGTGCGCCTCACCCCCAGCGATGGCAACGACTTCCCAGGGCCAGTCTGCAAACATCCACGTCGGTGGGTGTGAAATAATGTGTTTGTGGTCACAAAGCCAGGAAGCACCACAGTCTGCCCCAGGGCAGGTCCCTTAGTAAGCAGCCCCTGTGCGTGTGTGTCTGTGTGGTGCACAAGCCTGTTTATCCGTTTGTCTGTCTTGGAGGTGGCTCCACTTGCACGCACATAGATCTGCCCAATTCTTTCCATCATCTGCAGGATTCTGTCCGGTGTAAATGGAACTTAATTTATTTATCAAGGTGCCTCTGGATGGCCATTAAGTTTGTTTTGGAATTCTTATTAATAAACCTCTGCTAGCCTTACAGAAATGGCAATTTCATAAGTTAAGCCCAACACCAATGATGCTGCGGCAAACGTCTTAACCAGCACATGCCAGATACGATTCTCAGTGCTTTCTGATTCACAATTAATTTAATACTTGGCAAAACCCTTAGAAGCAGGTATTTTCATCCTCGAACCTACTTTGCAGATGAAGAAACTGAGGCACAGAAAGATTAAGTAACTTTCCCGGGTCACACAGCTGACAAGTGGGAGCACTGGGGTTTGAACATGCAAGGGTTCACGAGGATGAGGAGGTAGCGCCCACCTCTCTCCCGCATCCTTGGCTTTTGGTCTCGGGGCTCATGTGCTGTGAGGAGGAGGGTAGATTCTTGGAGGGGTCTTGCAGGTTGGGGAGGCACATTTAAATTCTGCTGCCATCGGAGGGGCCAGGACTTGGCCAGGAAGTGTCCTGTGCATCTCTGGCTGAGGGAACGTGACCCCCATTAACCACCCCACCCCCACCCTTGCCAAGGAGGCAGCTGTGCTGGCCACAACCCAGAGGCTGGAGTCCACACTGGGCTCTTTGTCCTCGGTGGGAACCCTGCGGCCCCCTTGGCCCCTCTCAAGGGCCCACTGTCCCAGCACCAGTGGGGCCTCCCAGGGGCCAGGCCTGGCTGGGAAGCTTGGCATGTTGGGGCTCCTTGGCCTCCCTGCCAGCTGGGCCTGAAGAGTCCACTCGGGAGTCACTCGCTCTGAAGCGAGCCTGGCGAGGCTGTGGCCATGTGCACGGGGGTGCAGCGGCCCACATGGGGCTGGAGGCTTGGGCCCCAGGCCTAGCACTGTGTGCACCCCCAGAACCCAGGCCTGGCTCTGGATCCTCTTGCACCCCACCCAGCCCCTCTCTGGAAGCCTCTGCAGCTTCCACTTGGGAAGGAAAGAAGGAGGGACTTCCTCAGCCTCAGGTGAACCTGGGGCTCCCAGAGCCTCTCAGGAGGCCCCCTGACCGCCCTGCGCCGAGGGGGCTTCCCACTGCAGGGTTCTGCCCCACCCCCAGTCTGCAGCCTGGCCCAGCGCTGGCTCCAGAGCACCCTGACAAGGGGAAGCCGGATGCTCCTCTGAAGGCTGAAAGCTGAGGCCGGTGGGTCTAGAGGTGAGGAACCCCGGAGAGGGCTCCTTACCCCCCAGAGTGCACCGGTCATGGTGGGAGCAAGAGGGGGCTGCAGCAGATCCCCAGGTCTGGCAGAGCTGCCTGCCCCTGCCTGGGCCAGGAAGACTGTGGAGCCCTGTCCCCACAACTGTCGTTTCCCAGGGGAAGACGGTGCTAACCAGGCCCAGGCCCTGCCCCTGGGACCCTCTCACTCTTCCTCCCTCACCCCCACTGCCCTTCCCTCCAGGTTCTTTAAACAGAAAGCCCCATGGAAACCCTCAAGGACCTAGAAACCGCCCTCTATGGGAGAGCTTTTGCTGGTGGGGTTGGAAAGTCCTGAGGGCAGGGCTGCTGTCCCCGTGTCAGCTGACCCATCTCCACTCGGATGGGAGCACAGCTCTTGTGTTTGTTGAATGAATGCACAAATGCCCGCGGGTTTTCAGGACCAGCTCAGTTCTGCTTCCAAAGGTTGGATGGGGACCTGGGCTAGAAGAATTTTCAAGAGAAGTGGGGCGTCTGCACTGTTCCCCTCTGCTCCTCCTCGTCACCAGGGCCCGGGGGTTCTTAAGGAGGGGATGAGGTGGGCAACAGAAGGGCTACTTCCTTTCCCTCCTTCGCTGATTCTAGACCTGAAGAGCCTGTCTGACCCGGGTGCGGCACTCGGCCTTGGCTGTGTGTCACTGTCGGTGCCTTAACTCGGCACCTCATAGCAAGGACCCTAGGAGGCAGGCGGATCAGGCCCACGTGACAGATGAGAAATTCGCGGCATCTGCCCACGGGGCAGACCACTTTTCACGCTGGATACCGAGTTCTTGCTGGGCCCGCTGTGACTGTCCCCTCCGAATGACGGGGTCCGGCCCGCCCACAGAGCGCGGTGGCCTCCAGAGGGGACCCAAGAGGGCCCGCAGCCGGTGTCCCTCGGTCGGCTGGGCGCTGGCCCCGGTGGCGAGGGGTGGCGGCCACCGTCTCGGAAAGCC